TATGTTGGGTGGGGACGTCAGGAAGAGTGGAGTCAGCCGGTTTGGCGCGCCGAAGTAGATGAGCTGTTAGTAGCATCATGTCTAAGCAAGAAGTGCATACGCCTTTTGCGCAACGCATTATCATACAATTTTTGTCGAGAGAGGGCGTAAATTTTTACGAAATTTTGTGTCGATTAACAGGACACTTCGGCGATAAGACAGTTTCAAGGACACAAGTATACGAAAAAATCCTCCATTGAGTGGCGAAAGCCTGAAAAGGTAGCCCCGCGAAAAGCCAAGATAAGTCTTTCTACATGAAAAGTTCTTGCAACGGTATTTTGGGATTCCAGAGGTGTACTGCTAGTTAATCTTTTTCACGATCACCGTACAGATAATGCTGCTTACTACTGCCAACTGCTTATCGGCGAAATAGGCGAGACATGCCTATTCGAAGTGCCATCCGGCACCATAACAACGCTCGGCGACGCACAGCTGCATTGACGCAAGAAAAATTACTTGAACACTATCCTTACAGTCCCGATTTGTCGCCATGTGACTATCAGGCGTTTGGGCCACTTAAAGAAGACCTGGGAGGTCATCACTTTGACGACAACGAAGGTGTAGAAACGTTCGTGCGCAATTATTAGCTACTGACACGACCAGCTTTACTCTTTGCTGGCGAATTGAAAAACTTCCGATCCGATGGAAAAAATCCATCAATATATTAATAGGCGGGAGATTATGTAGAAAAATGAGATGTAAATAAACCTGTATTACCTATACCAATAAAATTACTAAAACAAAAGTCCGGTTCATATTTGAGTCCCCCTCCTACAAATACTATAGCGTTTGACTAAATGTACAAAAATGTTTGACAGTTTGCTAGATGGTCATTCTGGAAGAGAGTAATTATATTCCAGGGTCATGAACTACTACTACCCCTCATTTTATTTAACCTTTACGCTAAAAAATAGTACGAATGGATCAGTTTCATCACTTCAAATTTCAGAGTGCTAACTTGACCCCTCCGAAAATAATGAGGGAGGGACCTTCTTGAAAAGCACTATATATATATACAAAGTGACATATTAAACGCAACAGCCAGAATTATTGATTTTTGATAAAAAACTTGTAAACCTATTTGCTATCATGGAAGCATACGGTGATAAATAATAATAATTTAAAGGCACTATTGTCAGATCAGGACCCGAATAATATGAACATGTTTACCTAATATTTAGTAATTTTTCTGTGCTGGTTTCATTTGTTTCATTGCATTGCCATTCCTAGAGTCTCCAGACCTCTCCCCCATCGAAAATGGATATGGGACATGATGGCAAGAAGGTTGCAAAATTTACCGCACTCTCCACAAACATTGGAGGCTCTACGAAACCAAATTCAGATGGTCTGGAATACAATACACCAAGAAGACATCAATCAGCTAATCCAATCAATGCCGCGACGACTTAATGAATGTGTCGCGAACAGAGGTGCTTCAACACATTATTAATATTTGGGTGGGATATCTTAACCATTTTGTGATATTTTGAGCTAAAATTTTTATCATTTTCTACAGGGTGTGCCCCCGAAACCGGGTGATAGGCAAAGTCATAACAGCTATCAGAAAAATATTTAAAAAAATGTTATGTATGTGTTTTGAAAATTATAGGTCTTTGAAAAAATATAGAAATTTCACACCCTACGGCAGTCTGTCAAGTCCTGTTACTACAAATATTAACTTTTTTTGGATTTTATTTTTACAATGTAATGATGAATAATGCATCTTCAAACTGGTGTCTCAACCTTATTGCCAACTTTTCTCGTTTAGGAAAAATTGCCACTTATTTCCCAACCAAGTATTCCAAAGTAAAACTCCATACCACATACAGCGTGTTCAACCTCTTCTGCCCCGGGATTATGAGCCCCGAGTTGCTTTTTGTCGCACAATGTTAGAAAGACACAGGAAAGATCCACAGTTCTTTGAAAAAATTGTATGGTTGGATGAGACCACATTTAAGAAAGATGGGTACATGAACCTGTATAACTTACACGAGTGGCACGTAGCAAACCCACATTTGATGAGAGAAGATAAATCTCAATATCGCTTCAAGATAAACCATTGGACAGGAATATTAAATGGTAAAATAATCGGTCCGTTTGAGTTCCCAGAGACTTCGACTGCAGAAGTTTATTTGGATTTTTTGGAAAATCATGTACAAAATTTATTGGTGGACGTGCCACTGAGTATTTACGGGGACATGTGGTTTCAGCATGAGGGCTGCCCAGCGCACTAGGCACTCTCAGTGAGAGAGTATCTCGATCAAAACTTTCCAGGCAGATGGATAAGTCGGTCTGGTACAATACCGTGGCCAGCCCGATCACCTGATTTGAATCCTTTAGATTTTTTTACTGGAGAACTGTTAAAGAAAAAGTGTATTTCAAGCCGATTCAAAATATAGCTGAGCTACAGCAAAGACTATTGGAAGCAGCTGAGTTTGTTATAATTTTCAAAACACATACATAAAATTTTTTTAAATATTTTTCTGATAGCTGTTATGGCTTTGCCTATCACCCGGTTTCGGCTTGACGTCGACTTCTGGGACACCCGGTATATGTCAGTAGACCTTGAACTTGTAGAAGTATGCTCAAAATTACAGCACTCTTAGTCGGTGCATTTTCTGTCATTTAGTATAACACTCCTATGATTTCCCTATCGATTTTGGCATTATGTATAAACAAACATAAGTGCCATTCTGCTCATATTGCCATCGGCATTGGAATGTTTCCAATCGATATCATAAATACCCGACTTTAGGCTTTAATTACGTCTTTTATAAAAAGAACCGCAATTAGCCTCTCATACGTAAAAGTACGGATGCTTGTGCTAGCGAAATTGAGGATCAGAGCGAATGAAAGTAGAAGATTTTCTCAAGTCTGCTGCTGAGAATCATCTACACAATAGTTGGAATTATAATTACACGACTTACTACAGGTTCTTCCTTTGTAATGTATAATCAACATTGTTAAATGCCGCAATGCAGCTAGACTTTGTAGCCGTAACTAGATTGAAATTATAATATTATCGATGGAAGTGCATTTAGTAATGCAGTTACATAGTTTATATGCCATTATATTAAAGTGTCTTCTAGCAGACTGATACTGCGCTTGTCATTCACCAGTTTAGAAATAAGCATCTGGATCCAATTTCAGAACTGGCGATATTTTGCAGTAAAACCATCAGAATACATCATATTTAAAATTCTCCATAAGTAGGGAGCGTGCACTGAAAAGTTTCAGACCTAACAAAGGTTCAGGACATCTTTTTTGATTATTTTTTATTTTTCAGCATAGTCTCCTTGTAACTCTATCTCTGTAATCCAGGAGTTCCCAACCAGGGGGGCGCGCCTCCCAAGAGGGAAATAGAGTGATGTCAAGGGGGGCGGACAGCGTTTGCATTTTAGAAAGAAAAAACAAAAATAAACAAACAACATTAACAAATAACATTATTAAATATCATATTCACTTCTGTCAACCGCTATTTCAGTTTATACAAGTTTCGACAAGTCACAACATGAAATCAGCGCGCACCCCCGCCGCGCTCCGCTTAACATTCATCACTTAGAAAACAACTGGCACGCGGACGAGCATCTGTGACATTTATTCCCACAAACTTGCGAAAAATTAGACGTTTCGATATACATGTTCTGTTGAAACCTCTGTTTTTGTGTGTCAAATTATTGTGTCTCATTGTTAAAAGGTAAGTTTGTGTATTTACAAACTTCAGTTACCATTTTTATTTAATTTACTAAATTGTTGATTGGGTGGAGACGCGTTCATCAATCGGCCATTGGGACTTTTTAACCACATCACAATCAAACCAACGTGACGAAATAATTTTGAAACGACTAACGTTAAGTACCTTATATTGATTCTAAATGTATTTAAAATTACTATTATAACGTCAGCCTGCCAACAAAAATATAAATCACGCGGTATCCAATATGTTGTTGAATCCATTACGTTATTAAGATAAAATAATGGGCATATAATAGTAATTACGTGTAGGTATTTTGCTTATTCATTTATTACTTATTCGTTTTATTGTTATAGGTGCAAAATGGCAGCGAACAGAGGAAAGTTTTCCGAAGATTACGTTAAGTTTGGATTTACCTTCATAGAAAAAGACGAGTTACAATTGCCTTGGTGTGCGATATGTATGAAAGTTTTAAGTAATGATAGGATGAGGCACAATCGCCTTGAAAGGCATTTGAAGCAACAACATCCTACTCTGGTTTTGAAGACGAACGAGTTTTTTTGTCGGATGAGACTGGATAAATCGGGAAGTTATCACACAGGTATATCGCAGCATCACAAAGCATCATTTGAAATAGCTTTTATGATAGCCAAGCAAAAGATACTATCGGAGAAGATTTAATAAGACCATGTGTCCTAATAGCCACGCAGATAATTTCAGGAGAAGGTGCAGAGCAAAAAATTAAGTCTATTTCTGTTTCGAATAACACAGTCAAGCATAGGATCGATGACATTGCAGCAGACATAAAGTCACAAATAATTAACAAAGTAAAATCATCGTCATTTTTGCCATTAGTTTCGATGAATCCACCGACATTGTTGATTGTGCATAGTTAATAGTTTATGTTCGTTACATCGGCGGAGATATTCAAGAACAGATTTTGTACTCCCAATCTTTGACAACAGGTACTACATCTGAAGATATATTTAATTCAATATCAAATTTTGTTGAAAAAAATTATTTGGATTGGAAGAAACTCATTGGACTTTGCACAGATGGCGCACCTGCAATGATAGGTGTATGATCGGGCTTAGCTAAAAAGCTCAAGGAAAAAAGTCTCGCAATATTTAGTACACATTGTGTTGTTCATCGGCAAGCTTTGGCTTCCAAAACATTGCCACAGAAATTACGCCAGACTTTGGACTCGGCTATAAGGATTGTAAACTACATCATGAGCAGCGGTTTGAACAGTCGGTTATTTGCTTACTTTGCGAGGATCTCAATTCTGATCACAAAGTTCCATACAGAAGTACGCTGGCTGTCCAAAGGCAACATGTTGGCTCGCCTTTATGAATTGAAAGAAGGGGTAATTATTTTTTTTAGTTCAAAGAAAAACACGATTTCTTAACAGTATTGAAAGATGACACATTTCAATGGAGGTTAGCTTATTTAACTAACATATTTGAGTCCTTGAATGAGCTAAACTTGAAACTTCAGTGCAGAAACAACACTATAATAAGCAATTTATATTCAGGAATTCATATAAAAGCTTCAACTTTGGAATCAAAAAGTGTCTTCTGAAAATTTTATATATTTTTCTCGGCTTAAAAGCTGGCAAAAACTCATTTGCAAGCGCTGGAAGATAAATTTCGGCAAAAAAATTTCTAGGTTTATTTAAACTTTTAAAGTTTCTTTATGAGATTTACAATAAAAGTCTTTGCACCTCTTTAATGTGCGCCTTTATATATTTATTGAAAAAGTAAAGGAATGCATGAATATATAATTTATAGTCTGGGCAGCCTCAACAAAAAAAGGTTGGGAAACCCTGCGTAACCCCTCCAAATAGTAGATATTCGGCGTTTTTCTCTGCAGAATAATTGTTCACGAAGGTGATTGCCTCTTCATTTGATGAAAATCTCTGCTCTCCGAGCGCAACTTTAAGATGAGGGAACAAAAAGAATTCGATTGGGGCTAGATCTGGTGAGTAAGGCGGATGGTCAAGCAGTTCAAACCGTGATTCGTGGATTTTCGTCATGGCAACGGCTGATGTGTGAGACGGTGCGTTGTCTTGATGAAAAAGGGTTTACTTTTTCTGCAAACGTAGCTGGTTTTTCCGCAAGCTCTGCCTTCAGTTTGTCAAGTAATGATGCGTAGTATGCTCCTGTAATGGTTATTCATTTTTTAAGATAATCGATCAAAATAACTCCATGATTACACCAAAAAATAGTCGATATCACTTTCTCAGCTATTTCTGGAGCTGGTTCCCTCTTTGCAGTCAACTGTTTGGATTGTATTTTTGTTTTGGGCGTATAATGGTGTATCCAAGTTTCATCTACAGTAATTAAACTGAGCCACCAGAGGGTTGGAAATGTTTATTCGAACACCGTTCTTGGTATGAAGTCAGAAAACGCGGCACCAATCGCGTGGACAGCTTTCTCATCCTTAAATGTTGATTTAATATGTGACAAACACATTTTCTTGACATGTACATAACTTCTTCTATCTCTCTCACTTTAATTTGGCAGTTGTCTACCACCATTTGGTGGACTTTGGCGATATTTCCGTCGGTAGTTTTTGGACGTCTCAAACGTTCATCGTCTCCCAAGCTCTTACGACCACGTTTACATTTAGCTGCCCAAAATTTCACTGTGGTAGCCCCATACACAGAATCCAACTCCTCTTTGATTTGCGTAGGCGTATTGCCTTTCAAAACAAATATTTAATGACAGATCGATACTCGATTTTGTCCATTTTCACAAAAACACTCACATTAGCTCGCTCAAGCGACTGTTAAATAACAACTGCGCGTCCAAAATGGCTGAAACTTTGGCGAGAACTGTCAACAGATGAGCCACGAAATTCACTAGCTTTTATTTACGAGTGCTACCATCTTCACGTTGAGGACGGAAACCATTCAAACCATCCTCGTATATAAAGTGGACACTTCTATGGATCAATTACTATTATGTATGTATCCGAAAAAGAGACTAAACCAAAACAGTGATCATCGCGTGATTATTGCCTGATAAGTGCTCTGATATATTTCAAGAGAGAGGGAGCATAACTGTTATTGGTCAGAATAGGTCGAGCCCTAATGGTACCCATTCACGTACAGGCGGACTGCAGTCCCGAACTGTGAACGATCTGGCCGTCAGTCCAAATTTCAGCATACACGTACAGGTGGCCGGCAGGTCTGTGCCTGCAGTTTACAAAGATTGCACAAAGTGTGTACGTGTGTGGTGGTTAATCGTCAGTCCGGGTCGTACGATAGCGACTTTCATTGTATTTAAAAATTGTGTACACAGTTTTGGTAAAAAATGTCTGATGTGACGTTAAATCAGCCATCGTTTGTTACTGGTTTTATTGATATTTATCGACAGTTACCAAGTTTATGGAATATTAAGTCAAAACAGTATTCAAATCGAAAAGAAAAGGCAAAGGCGTATGAGAAACTTATAAGTTATTGCAAAACCGTAGACAAAAATGCTTCGATGGATATGGTAAAAAAGAAAATTAATAATATTAGAAGTGCCTTTCGAAAGGAGCACAAAAAAGTTCTAAAATCAAAAAGAAGTGGATCATCTACAGAAGAGCTGTATGAGCCAACTCTTTGGTATTATAAATTACTGCTTTTTACGGCTTCGCAGGAAGAACCTAGGATGTCAGTTTCAAATGATGATGAGTCGGAGTCGGAGGGTGACGATGCCAATAATGAGGTAAGGAAATTTTTTGCAAATAAAAAAATCAAATAAAATCTTTTTATTTCTTGTCTAAAATAAATTCTTTAATTCTACAAAATTATCAAGTAAGATACATATTATAATAGGTACATTGATTAAATAAAATTTTCTTGCCAGGAAACTTTTCCAACAGTATTAAAGAAATTTTTATAATTCACTCTATTTTCTTTGGCTTCACGTGAAGCATTACGACCATATCCTGGTTGTAAATTATCTAATGGTCTTTCTGCTCTCCAGTCTCCCCTTATTATATCCCCTGTGTCAATAATTTCGGTGTCAACATCATTTCTCGTTATATATGAAGTTTTAGAACGTCTCAAAAAATTATGCAACGCGCAAGCTGCTAGTACAATTTTGTCAATTTTGTCAGGTTGCATATTAATTGGAGTATGGAATACTCGAAAGCGATTAGCTAATATACCGAACGCGTTCTCAACCGTGCGGCGCACACGGCTAAGTCTATAATTGAAAATAGATTCTTCTTTTGTTAAATTGTTTCCCGGGAAAGGTTTTAAAATATTTTCATGTAATGCAAACGCATCATCTGCCACAAAAACGAAATTTAAATTATGCTTTGTTACGTCATTAGAAGGCAAATTTAGCTTTTTTTCTATAAGTTTATCGTAAAATTTTGTATATTCTAAGACCCCTCCATCAGAAACTCGCCCATTACAGCCTACATTAACATATATGAATTCGTAATCAGCATTAACAAGGGCCATGAGAACTATACTGTGATAGTCTTTGTAGTTAAAAAAATATGACCCGCTGTTGGCTGGTTTAACAATTCGCAGATGTTTACCATCAATAGATCCTCCACAATTAGGAAAGTTCCATCTGGTTTCAATATTATAAGCTATTTCTTGCCACTCCTCTGATGTTTTTGGAAACTGTAAAAAAAATTATAATATACATTTTGTATTTTGTACTTTCAGGAAGATGTCACCCAGCATGATACTCAATTTTCACCGCTTACTGAAGATGCGTTGCAAGCACCGTCTGAAATATATCAGCTATCACCACCACAAACACCGCATCAGTCATCAACCTATTCACGTCCATCAACTTCCAGATCTTCTAATAGTGCAAAAAGAAAGAAGTATGGACAGGAAGAAAGTATCCAAAGGATTTGCGCTAAGTTGGACAGAGAAAATGATGAATGTGACAGTATTGGAGAAAATGTGGCCCATAAACTGCGCCGAATGGACAGCGACCAGAAAATGTATGCTGAATTATTACTTCACCGTCTTCTCTTCCTTGGTGTTCAAAAGAAATTATGCGAGGAATCTCATATATGTATAAATTCGGCACATAGCGTTTCATCTCATTATAATACTATGTTGCCAATGCAACTTCAATACAATCAACAGCCACAACCTTTAACTCCTTCTCCTTTCCAACCCATATTAACAAATCAGCAACAACAAACTTTCACTTCTTCGCAACACACATCAACTTACAATCAGCAACAAAATGTCACTCTTTCCCGACCCTCAGCAACTATTTCTGAAACACAGTACACAAATGCAGAAGGAGAAAACCTCGACATAAATATAAACTATATAAGACCTCTTGATAAAACTACCCCTGAAACAATGGAGGAAAGCGGCAACACGTCGAAACTTAAAGGATCTTTAACTGAATTGCTGGTTTTTAATCGATGAATTTACGAAACTTCAATGACTACATACTTAAAGTTTTGTTTTTACTTGTCGACTTGTTCATTATTACCTATTGTCTATGTTTTTGACAATAGAAATCAAAAGTTTATTTAAAATTCGTTTCTATAACACAAGTTGTTCACCTTTAAGTTTTTATGTAAGGATACATTTTTCAATAAAATACGTAGTTGAAATATTATTTTGAAATTTTACTAAAACATAAAAAATTACTTCAAATTACGACAAAAGCGAAAATTTTGGAATGCAAGCATAAAATACATAATTTTTAATAAGAATATTAGCGAGGTATTTAGGTTAAAAAATAAATACCTAGGTACTTTTATAAATGTACGCTTCTAAAAATTTTGGCTTTCAATCTCCTTCAACTATTCCATTTCTTTCTAAAATATTATGCACTGTATTCCAAAATTTTATGAACTTACCTTCATATATTCCTTTTTCAACGCCTTGTAAATCCATTCGCAGGTTTCTGGTATAATTTTTCCTAGTGCTTGGGGAGAAATAATGGCAGAAAATTTCAAATCCTCAAATGTACGTCCAGTTGCCAGATACCGCAAAGTCACTATTAACCTTTCTTCAGCACTAATGGCTTTTCTCATTACTGTATTCTGTCGTTTTATGTGGGGTTTAACTAAAGTTAATAATTTTCTGAAAGAAGCCTCGTCCATCCTAAGATAATTTTTAAAATCTTCGCTGCTGGAATCTTTCAATCGCTTCAGGAGTTTCATATGAGATAAATTTTCACGATCTCTTAACCATTCCTTCACCCAAAAACGTTTGCCATTTTTTCCGCGTTCATTAGTTAATAGCAAAATCAAAAGTAACAAAATAAGTTTCTTTTTTCTTAACATTTTACCACTGCTTTATTGTTCTTTTGTCTACACACTACAAGCAAGAACTGCGAAACTTTTGCGACGGACTGTGGATGTATGGCAAATAATGAGGCGACCTGCAGTTCTAGGACTGTCAGGCGATGGCCTGCAG